ACCGGGATGATGCTATCCCCATTGCCACTTACCTTATAAATCGTCTACCAAGTAGAACGCTATCTTATAAAACTCCGTTACAGCTTCTTTGTGCCACTTATAACCTACCCTATCTCACAAATAACCTTCCCCTACGTGTGTTTGGTTGTACTTCCTATGTCCACCTACATTATAGTAACAAACTTGACCCCTGAGCTGTTAGGTGTGTCTTCCTCAGTTACTCTGCCTCTCAAAAAGGGTATAAATGCTTTGATTCTACTACAAAACGTCTGTATATTACTTGTGATGTTACCTTTCACGAAGAAGTCCCCTATTACCATGAGTCTTCAATTCAGGGGGAGAGTTGGAGTGAATTTCAGCCCACAAATGAACCTGAACCTGACTTGTTGTTTGTGGAACTTGCCCCCCAAGATACTAATACCCCCCAAGATACTAATAGTGAGAGTGGGGAAAGGCCAAATGAAACAGAAAAGTCTGACCCAGGGGTAGAGACTGCCAGGAAATTTGACAAGTTCTATACACGAAGACACAAGACAGGTATTGTGCCCGAAAGCCCTAGCACTCACCAAGAGTCAGAACCAGCAGCAGGTCCAACGGAGAAACAAGGTTTTAGTTATAGCAATGAACAGAAAGAAGAAATAGAAGACCTGGATCTCCCTATTGCAATCAGAAAGAAGCCTAGAGCTTGCACACGACGTCCCATAGAAAAATTCGTTTCCTATTAGGCACTTTCCTCAAAATATTGTGCATTTGTTGCCCACCTTGATAGTGTCAAGGTACCAAATAACATTGATGAAGCTCTAGTCATGCCTGAATGGAGGAAAGCAGTTCTAGAAGAAATGGAGGCCCTTGAGCGAAATAACACCTGGGTAGTAGTTGATCTCCCTAAAGGAAAAAGGCCTGTTGGTTGTAAGTGGGTCTTCACTCCTAAATATCTAGCTAATAGAAGCTTGGAAAAATATAAGGCTAGACTTGTTGCAAAAGGCTCCTCACAAGTATATGGGATGGATTACACAGAAACATTTGCACAGTAGCAAAGTTGAATACTATTAGAATTCTATTGTCATTAGCTACAAATCATGACTGGTCATTACATCAGTTAGATGTTAAGAATGCATTTTTGAATGGTGAACTCAAGGAAGAGGTATATATGAAAATGCCTCCAGGGTTTCCAGGGAAGAAATCAAACCAAGTATGCATGCTGAAGAAGTCACTGTATGGATTAAAACAATCACCTCGGGCATGGTTTGAGCGCTTTACCAAGGTGTTGAGGAGGCAAGGGTTCTCTCAGGGACAGAGTGATCATATTATGTTCTACAAACACAAAAAGGGAAAAATGACAGTTCTAGCTGTCTACGTTGATGATATTGTTCTCACTGGAGATGACACAGCTGAAATTGACCATATTAAAACTGCATTAGCCCAAGAGTTCCAGATAAAAAATCTCGGAGAAATGAAATACTTCCTCGGGATGGAAGTAGCCCAATCAAAGAAGGGGATTTACATCTCTCAAAGGAAGTATGTTCTGGATCTCTTAAAGGAGACAGGCATGTTGGGATGCAGACTAAGTGATACTCCCATCAGAGCAGATAAGATCAGTCAAGATGAAGATCTTGGGAAGACGTTGATAAGGGAAGATACCAATGTATGGTAGGAAAGTTGATATATCTTTCTCACACCAGGCCAAACATTGCATTTGTTGTAAGCGTGATTAGTCAACACTCACATGATCCGAAGCAGAAACACCTAAATGAAGTTTATAGAATCCTTCGCTATCTGAAAGTTCACCCGGTCATCGACTATGGTTTAAAAAATCTGATAAAAGAAATGTGGAGTTGTTTACAGATGCTGATTGGGCTGGTGATCAAGACGAGCGAAAGTCTACTTCAGGTTACTGCACATTTGTGTGGGGCAATCTTGTAACCTGGAGAAGTAAGAAGCAAAGTGTTGTTGCAAGGAGTAGTGCTGAGGCAGAATTCAGAGCAATTGCTCTTGGAATTTGTGAGGGAATTTGGCTCAAGCGAGTCTTGGTGGAGTTAAAGCAGAGCATGAATCTACCAATTAAACTATATTCAGATAATATGGCAACCATTAACATATCTCATAATCCTGTTCAACATGATAAAACCAATCATGTTGAAATTGATCGGCACTTTATCAGAGAAAAAATTGATGATGGTGTTATTCGATTGTCCTATATCCCATCTAGAGAACAAACTGCCAATATTCTTACAAAAGGATTAGCTCGAGACAAGTTTAAACATTTTGTAGGCAAGTTGGACATGATTAACATCTATGATCCCACTTGAGGGGGAGCGTTGATATCCTAATATCCTTACAATTAATATCAATTATATAGTGTAAATATATGTTTATTTAGTCAGGATGATTTTTTCCTTTTTTTTCCTTCCTTGTATCTCGGCCTATCCCTCGTTTTAAGGCCAAATTTGTGTCTTCATACTTGTATATATTCCCTTGAAAGGGTCCAGTGAAAATATAAGAATTTCTCCTCAAATATCTTCAGTAATGATTTTTGTGAGGGCTCAAAAACCACATATTCTGTGTAAGGTGCTAGTTCTCAAGTCTGAGATTCACCTATACTCTCCCCCTGAATTGAAGAATTGGAATAAAAGGGAGTTTCTTCGTGGAAAGTAACATCAAGGTTTACAAGGGTGCATTTAGACATAGGATCAAAACATTTGTATCCTTTCTGAGTGGGAGAATAGCCAAGACAGATGCACTTGATAGCTCAAGGTTCAAGTTTACTATTTTGGTGGATATGAACAAGGGCTGTGCAACCAAATATGCGAAGTGGAAGTTTGGTTTCAATGTGGGATGCAGGAAAAACACTTTACAATTTTTGGAGAAGAGTTTCAAAGGATAAGATTCGACTGGGCATTTGATTGATGAGATCGATCGCAGTTAAAATGGCATCCCTCCAATAAAATTTTAGCAAAGTGCAAGCGAACATGAGTGCTATTGCAACTTCAAGGATATGTCTATTTTTCCTTTCTACAATCCCATTTTGTTGAGGGGTATGGGCACGAGTACTTGTATGGATAATACCATGATTTTGGAGGAAATGACTGAAAGATTGGTTGAAGTACTCAGTACCATTATCAATGTGCAAGACTTGAATGCTAGCATTGAATTGGTTTTTGATCATGGTGAAAAAACCCATGAACGTGGATACAGCCTCAGACTTATTCTTTAAAAGATAAACCCAACAAATATGAGTATGGTCATCAATGAAGGAAATGAACCATTTTGTTTGAGTACGATTTGGAGTACAAGATGGGCCCCATGGTCACTGTGAATGATTGTAAAAAGTTTGGTGGGTGTGTATTTGGCTCTGGGAAAGGAAGTTCGATGGTGTTTGGCAAGTTCACACACCTCACACTGAATTTCACTATAATTCAGGTTGGTGCATAAGGTTAGAAACACTTGTTGAAGGTAATAAAAATTAAGAAGACCCATCCTCTTATGCCATAACATAAAATTATCAATGTAAGAGGTAGACACAGAATTACCGACAATGGGTGAGTTATCCACTCGATGACGATCTCTAAATAATAGAGCCTCTCGTATTCCTGGCACTGCCAATTGTTGCACCAAATGATAGGTCCTGAAACAAGCAATGAGACGGGAGAAATCTAGCAAAACAATTTGACAGCCTAGTTAATTAACTGATTGAAAGCAAAGTGCAATCAAGTTTTGGTACATGGAGAACAGATTCCAAAACAATAGAATATGACATATGGATACTCCCTTTCCCACCACAAGTGCTAAGGAGCCATTTGCAATTTTTACTTCAACATTTCCAGCACACGAAGCATAAGTGGTGAACAATTGATGACAGTTAGTCATATGATCGGATACCCTAGAATCCACAATCCATGCCACTGCACTTCAAGTTGTCTTAAAGCTTGAAGAAAGGAACCCGTTTTTGCCACTAATGTTATAGGTGCAGATTTGGAAAAATTAGACACGACACTATGAGGAGTATACATAGCACTTCAAATAAGGGAAATGCTTCATAATAGACTAAAAACAAAAGCCACAACTCAATATAACTCCAAACCCAACAAAACAGGGCACTAACAACACCATACGACCTGATATGGTTCGAAAACGATGTACCCATACATTGGATTGTGCTAGATCTAGCCGGAGAGAGTGCGTCGCCGCCATCCGAGAAGATCGCATCCTGAACTGCACTACCACGCGCCACCGGAAGCTTGCCGACGCAGTTCACGAGGGTGGCGCATGTGCTCCACACGCACTGCTGTTCGCCATCACCGTCCTAGGTTTCACTGTTCAGAGCCTCCTGAGTACGTTTAAGGTGGCGGTGAGATTCAAAACTCGCTCCACCATTGTCCAAACAAACGCCCTCACGTACTGTTCAGAAAGTCTCATCCTAGCCACTCTAGAACTAACCTAATTTGAATTTTTGAGCCTGATGCTCTGATACCATGTGGAATTTTGAGAGAAAAATATATTTGTCATTAATGTGTTTTCTAATATACAAACTGAGGCTATATATACACATCAAGTGAGGTAAAACCTAATAAATGCTAATAAAGCCTAATAATGACAATGAATGCTAATTATTCACAATAATGACATAATATTCCCACAATAAATTAAGAGGAACTATTAAAATATTAGGAGTTCATTATTATCTTGAAGTTTATCATTGTCTAGAAGTCTTATAGTTATCAATAATCATTTTTCACTCAGCTCTTGATATTATAACTTGAAAATGAAAACCCTCCTAAATCAACAGTGTGCTACGAAGTGAACCTCAAATCCAAAGCACTGAAGCACCAGCTAAACTATGCTATCAAAATGTACACAATCTATCATATCAAAATGTATCATCACAAGTGGCTTGTGCAAGACAATCAGCTAAACTAAGCTTCAAACAAAAGAGTATGCATTATCACACACACAAAAACAAAAAAAAAAAGATTAAGGTTGAGAAGGGTTTTGCATCTTACAGTGTTCCCTGTTGAAATTGCTGAGAGCCGTCCAGAATATCGATTGATACTTGCAATTTTATCATCCTCAATTGCAAATTCAACATGTACACCAAGGGTTGGGCCTCCTTTCATGGTAACCTAAGCAGATAAATTAATAAAATGTCATCATAAAAAACGCAACATGTTGAGAATATAAACTTAAAAAGAACACTACTCAATGAATTTTTTTCTATGATTACATCCTTTAATCAAACTTGTGAATTTCAAGGTAATATACAAAGTACTTGCAATCTGAAACATACCACATAAGAAGCACCAGGTAAGAGGAATATATTATGAGGGTGGATTCTTGGTGTTGCATAGACTTCCACTTTAACAGCTTGCTCTGTATCTCATGTCCAGAATGCTGAACGGAACTGACCTGGTTCCATGAATAATCAACAAGATTTGAATTTTCAACTTACTTTGAACTGAGACAAAGATCAAATTGACTGAGATAGAAAATGGACTTACATAAAGGGATGTTATTCCAAGAAGTCTTCCCTGGATTTTAAAACTTGCTGCCGAAACATACCCATCAACAAGACTTGAGAAATCACCATCATCCATGAGGTCAATTATATGATCCTCAATGTGTACCCTAATTTTCATGTAAGCAATCTGCATCGTAGGTTCCAAATCATTCAGTTTATATCAGGGTGCGGACTTCAGTCTGACATATACATGAGTCATCAAGGTCTAGAAAATTTAGAAGATAACTGCCTCCATTGACCAGTTTCATTGTAGAACAATAATATCTATGTACAACGTGCACAAGAAATTGAGTGTGGCTTTTTAAAATAGGAGGAAACAATTTAAACCTGAGAGCCATGAAAACTCCTTCCATCATTAGTACCAACCAATAGGTCAACTGTCTGTAAACTTCCTTCCTGAAAACATCAAAATGGGCACATGATGTAGCAAATTTAGACCAAAAAAGCGAGAAAAAAACTTTTATAGAAGGCATACCATTAGGCTAATCTTATCTCCTGATATAATTTTAATCCACTCTATATCTGCAACTTGGACCTGTAAAATTGAAGGTTCAGTGGCTCTTAAGAATTCCACAAAAGAAGACATCACTTGACTAACACAATACGAGATGGCATTGCCTTTGCGAAACTGAAAGACAACTTGAAATTTTACCATTAAGAGGGTACGTGATAGTTTTTTCTTACTAATCTGGCTCAGTCAATTCTTAAAATGGTAAGATTCAACCTGAAAGTAAGAGTCTAAACTAGATATACGACCATATGCAGCTGAATTTTGTTAATCTGGTCCCTATTGAAGTTGTCATTTAAGCAAATAAAGTACATATTATCACACCGCAAAATTGCACACTGAGCCAAGTTGCAACTATCAATTTATGTAATAAGCAAGAGATACATAAATCACATCATGCAAAAGTTACCCATTCTTATCATGTAAAAGGGGCTTGCCTAGTCAAAACTAAGATTTGTGATTCATAAGCATGCGAAAAGATGCATAGGTTTGAAAAACAGACTAACTGTTCCAGCTAGATGATTGGCGTTTGGTGAACATATTAGCTCAAGCTGTTTTCTTTCTAGTCCACTCAAGCCAACTGGCCCAAGGATTCACTGAGCTGGCCAGTTTAGTGGAAATACCTGACTCAAGCATGAATGGGAATCGGCAGCAAAGTACTACCACTAGGTTTAAGCAATGTGCTTGCATTTGCCGTTGGCAACCATTTAGTCAAGTTTGTAGTTGTATCATATATACAAAACAAGTCTATTATATAATGTTCTTTTCATAAAAATTAATTCCTAAATTTACACAGCATAAAAGTTTAGAAAAGGTTTAATATACTAGCAGGCTATCATTTAAATTAATATTATATTATGATTGAAGATATTTTGGTAACAAATATTCTATCGAGTAGAATTGTGAAATACAAGAAATATTCAGCAATATTTTAGAAATAAAAGTACATAAATCTAATCATTTTCATCTTGAATTTTTAATTTCTAATTCAGTTGGTTTCTAACAAACTATGATCCACTCTTTCCAAACAAAAGAATTTTTTTCTGGCTCTTACTGTTGTAAAAGATTACTACTACCACTACTACAACATGTATGCAAAATCCTCTTATAATAAAATTGATAGATGTATAAAATATTATCTCTATGAGACAACTTAATTTCAGTCAGAATTAGTTGGAGCTGGATGTTTTTAAGGAGCATGGTAGGCTTTCAGGGAACAGGATGATTACTCAGAGTCAGACATGCCATAATGTAAGAGAAAGAGAGAATATATTATCGTTTAACCGGTTGGAAAAAATAGACTAGAGATAGAAAAACATACAATTTCCTTATTTATCAAGCAATTCAAATTGCAGAAACGAAACTTACAAGTGCAGAAGCTGTGAGTGGAGGTGTTAACCCAATGTCAAACAAAGTCAGATTAGCTATCCCCAATCCTCTAGGGACAAAATTAGTTGTAAGCTGTGTAATCCTGATGGAGGTTGGATAAGTTCTACCACTTGAGAATCATTTGTAACAGCTTCCAAGAAACAGCTTCCACCAGTAATTGACAAATTTATCTGGAAGCGAGCACTGAAATAGAAAAGAAGCTTTAAGTAATAAATATGATACATAAAAACTGAATTCCAAGAACACAACATTTGAAAATATTAGCATTGCAAATATAAGTAACTAATCCATATAACCTGAATAAGATGGACAGTGGCATTGGGGAAGAGAAATGATTCTAATATTTCACATACACCCTTCAAGACTTGACAACCATACTCCCAAACCATAGCCAATCAGATATCTCACGGCCATTGATACTAATAAGGGTTCTTACTTTTAACTACAATCTTTTTTGTATTCAAAACATTTCGGCAATTTCTAATAAATGATTTTTTTTACAAGCACTGACAAAAGAGTAGGCATTAAATTTTAAATTTTATTTAGAGTTACCCATGCTCTTCTGCACTTCTCCCATATAAATTTTACTCATCTCTATTGTTTAACGTAACAATAATGGTATCAGACATTTACATGTGTGAGCTGACAAAATTTGAGTGCATCAGATCAGGTAATTTAAAAAAAAAAAAAGTATATTTAATTATAAGAGAAACATTTATGAATTTGTCCAGCTGATTTTCAAGCCCTTTAATCTATCTTGTCCATGAATTTAGGAGATAAAAGGAGCATAAAATTTTTGAAAGTCTAGCGTTTTCTTGTTTTTAGTGTCTTTAATAAGAGCAGAATGCGGGAGTGTTTGATCAGCATTTCATCTGCCCCATCTTTTTTGGGAGCGGATTATTTTCTTGGCCTGGCTGTGGTTTACAGCTGGATGAGTTTATGGTTTTTAAAAGGAGTTTTCCATCATGATCCACAAAAGGACTGGAAAGCTCTTTTGATTATGAGTCTGTAATTTTGTTTCCTTTCCTTTATCTTGATTGTTATGGGAGGACTACTTGTCATCGTTTGTTGTATTGCCCTCTTTTCTTTAATAAAATCATTTTCTTTACAATAAAAAGAAGAAGAGAGAATGAGGTAAAGATATCCTCCTAAAAAAGCCCTAAATACCATAATTTTTCAATTATTATGCGGGTAATTCCATCAAAATTTATGATAATCCTTATTTGGTGCAGCCATTGAGAGCATGGTGTGGTGGCATAATTTTGGAACAATTAAGTTATACAGTGTGAAAATAAGCCTCTTCTGCATGAAATCAGCTAATAATGATAATAGAATACTGCTCTGACCTTGCACATTAAATTTAACCCACATAGTTCTCAAATTAGGTCAAGAGAAAACACCATAGTGCAGCAATTAAACAAGCTTGGGCCTTACTATGGTTAAAGTCAAGCAATATAGCATATGCCTACAAATGTTAGTGTTACCATTGGCATCAGGATTGAAATAAAGCAAGCTGACTCTGGATCAATTCGTAGGCTAGAACAAGCTGCAACATTGGAACAACGTCAAGATAAAATTTAACATTTTAAAAAAAACAAAATGAAATGAATGTACATGAGCAGCAGTAATGCACATTGACAATGATAATGACAAGCAGTTGTTCATAATTGATTTTAATCAAAATGTGTGAAGAACAAGCCTCAGCTTGAAGAACAATTAATTCCAGCAAAAAGTACCTGTAGACGAACTGCATCTGTCAGAATAATTTCAGATTCAGGAGAATGATGAAAGGTTTTACTTTGCAACCTATCATGAAAGCCAGTGACAGTTGCACGAACAATGCACTAGAAACAAAGAATTTATGCCACTATTGTCAACCATACATTAATAACCAATATTATCAGCATCGGCTTAAGAAGAATAAAAAAAAAGGAACAAAAGGATTTAACAAAAAAAAAAGGAAAGAAAGATTTCAAAAAAAAAAGAAAATAAAGAAAAGGCTCAAAAGAAATTTCAGATCCCTTTATAAATCCACTAGGGAAAGCCCCAATAAAATCCCTAATTATAGCTCAAAAGTGATGAATATAAACTTAAATTCATCATCGCATTAGTAGCAATGCGACTAAGAAAAGTAGGCTTCTATAAACAAGTTGAACGTTTTGAGGCAAGCCAAAATAAATAAATTTTGAGACAATGTTCTTGAAAGCCACTCCAGTCATTCAAATTAAGACCAAAAGTTTGACAAACAACTAGTTTGAGGTAATACCTCAAGCAGTAAATAAAAAAGACAAATTAATAACTTTTTAAGTACCAGTCCTGATTCATTTTGCAAGACCAAAAATCTCTCCCAACTGTTGGGCTCCACTATATCATAAGCATCATCCCATAATGCTAGTCCATCACAACTGTTAAGCCCCCAACTCAAACTGAGAGAAGATGAGTTTGCAAAAGGTTCCCCTGAATCATCGATTCCAACAGCAGATAGCCGAATAGTGTGCCCATTTGCCACAGTAATAGGCACATCACGCAATTTCTCTGAACTACGATCAGCTAGAATTGCTGCTCTAATAACATCACGCTCATTCACTGAAATGCACAGTTTCTCAGAAAAGAATAGGGAGGAAAGTTTTCAAGTGTATGTTGTCAATCACTGCAACTAGGATAAAAAAATAGACTTAACCTGGTTTCATCAGCTATAAGCACAATCGAAGAAGGAATGCTGCATGTAACGGACAGCCAAGCTTCAGACACAGAAGGAAGAGGATGGTCATCCCCTACCAAATTCCCACGTCTAAAATCTAAAAGAAGTTTCTGAGTCATTTAAACCAGAGAAGGTTACTGTGATGATTACAACTACATTAAAGATGAATTAGGAAATTATCTAGCAAGAACAGAATACAAAACCTTACATAAGTTCCCAGTGTTTGACAAAAAACCCGGTATAAACTCCGTCTGGCAGATACCCGATGCACAGAACTCCAGCTTCAGTCAGAGCATCACCTTCATTCAAACTTCCACATCTTCAAGGAAGTCAACATTTTTGCCCCATGGCTCAGGTCCACCACTTAACGATATATCTAA